GGACCCTTTGTCCCCTACTTTATTTGTCATAGCATCTGAGACCTTAAGCTGGGGTTTGAAAAATATAGTGTCGGAAGAAAGTGTCTCCCCTTTTGCTTTGCCATAGGGACGCTTGCAGGTCACATATCTATCCTTTGCCGATGATATAGTTATCTTTTCAAGGGGGGATAGACGCAACCTGATGGCTTTTTTGGACACTTATTAGAATGGATCAGGGCAACAAATAAATAGGCAAAAAAGCTTCTTTATCCCCTCTATGCGGTGTGGTTTGCTCAAACTCACTTCCTATGACATACTATAGGTTTAAGACATGGCGCTTTTCCTTTCATGTATTTAGGGTGCAACCTATACCAGGGGCGTCAGAAGAAAGAATATTTTCAATTTTTGATTGAAAATTTTGTGGCAAAAACTACTGGGTGGAAGAAGAAGCTTCTGTCGCAAGGGGGTCATTTAATCTTAATCCGACATGTGCTTTCCTCTATTCCCCTACATGTATTGGCGGTGATGGATTCTCCCAAGGCAGTGCTCAAACAATTAGGAAAAATCATGGCTGATTTCTTTTGGGGGGCTTCGGAGATAGGCCCTAAGCGTCACTGAAGGAGTTGGAGAGACCTATGCTTTCCTACTAATGAGGATGGACTTGGTCTGCGTAGCTTCACAGACATGCAAAACGCATTCAACTGCAAGCTGTGGTAGCGATATCGCTACACTTGCTCGCTCTGGACCAAATTCATGCGCTCCAACTACGATACCACAGGTCGTGGGAACCGCTTTGTCTCAAAGGTTTGAAAGAGTATGCTCTCAATTCAAACCATGGTTGATCAATTCTCCAAAGATCTGGATGACCAAGGAGGGAAGTAGGTCTGGACTCTTACACCATCAGAACAGTTCTTGATCTCCTCAGCTGTACAACTATTATGGCCTAAGCGCTCATGCTTAGGATCTAGAAAATTAATTTGGGACCGTCGAATTCCAACTAGAATCTCCATTTTCATGTGGAAATTGTTGAATGAGTTTTTGCCATTCCTAGAGACTTTGAGCCTTTGGGTATCAACTTCCTTCAAAATGTCCATTTTGCCAAAATGAGGAATCCTGAGATCATGTGCTATCAGCTTGTTCCTTTGCTACAGAAGTTTGGAATTGTTTTGCTTAGTCCCTTCACCTTCCAGTTCGCCCCTCAGCGGATATTTGGCTGAGACTGCAGCATTGGTCGTTTGATGCATCACACTCGGCTATGGAGCAAATTTACATAATCCTGCTAGCAATCATTTGTTGAGAAATATGGAAAGCCAAAAATCTCTGGACCTATGAGGGGATTCACATTAGCCCAGTGCAAGCTTGTCGAAATGTCAAAGCTTCGCTCTGGTCCATCTTGCAGGCCTTTCCATTCACTCAAGTTGCCAAAGAAAACTTGTCCCTAGTAAATTCAGGACTGTTGCCTCGTTTGCTTCGATCGAGTTCCAAGATCCCAGTTGCTATCAGCTGGAGTCCTCTGGTCATCGATTTCGTTAAGCTAAATACAAATGGATCCTCTTTAGGTAACCCCAGTTTTTCGAGTGGGGGAGGAATAATTCGAGACCCCTTCGAAAACATTCTAGTAGGATTCTCAACGGCCGTGGGGATTAAAACTAATATGGAGGTCGAGACTTTGGCTCTCCTTGAAGGTATCAACCTTTGCTTGGAGCGAGGCTGGCAAACTCAACAGCCTTGGTGCAAATGCTAAATGGAGAGTGTCAAGCTCCTTGGAAGTTGTGGCAGATAGTCTCTCGCGCCCTAGAGATGACTTGTGGCAAGCAGTTTTCCTTTCATCACATTTTTCGGGAAGCCAATGCGATGGCAAATGCACTAGCAAACCTAGCCAACTCATCACAATGTGTTTTGACGTTTTCGGCGCCCCAGCTCCCCAGCGTCATTCTCGGTTTGGCAGGACTAGATAGACGCCAACTACCCTACATTAGATTAGTAAAGCCGTTGCCATGTAGGAAGCATTGCTCTACGCTTCTCATCAGTTGTACTTTGCTTCAACTCAATAAATCCAAGTTTTTTTAATAAAAAAATTTCAAGCTTGAGTAAGTCATTCAATTTGTAACTTTGTGAGAGTTAACTAGAATTAGTTGTAAAATCCTTTGGGTTAACCAAAGAGCGCTTGGGGTGAACAAAGGGTGATCCCTCTATTGTACTTGAGGAGCAATAACTTTATGTTTTATCCCGATAAACTCAAAATAGTTAACATAATAATATTTTCTATCTCTACCCATTCTTAAACATTTCATAAAGGTCTCACAATGAAGTTCTACTTCAAATTTGCATATCCTGAATTAATGCATGACTTTATCTTTTGATTATAACAAATATACATGACAATACCTAATGCAATCATCTATGAATGGTAAAAAATATTTTTATCACCCAAAGTAGAAGACCCGTATAAATCACAAACATCACTATGAATGAAATCCAAAATTTTAGATGATTTTTCAACTTTGGGAAAAGGATTTTTTGCGATTTTGGGTAACACACATGTTTTACATTTTCCTTTCTTTTGGTCACTATATGACAATAATTCAAGTTTCATCATTTCATGGATTCTTCTATAATTGACATGACCAAGCCTTTGATGCCATAAAGAAGAAGATGACTCAAGCACATACATAAAAATATTGTTCTTCTTATTGATAGCAATTACATTAAGTTTGAACAAACCATTAAACCATTATAAAAATGTCACTTTTCCTACAAAGATGCCACTTTTGAACAATCCAAATTTATCAGCCTAAAAAACAAGCTAAAACCAAACTTGTTTATTAAACTACTTGACACAAGGTTCTTCCCAACTTTCAAAACATAGAATATATTTGTAAGAGTTACAACATTTCCAAATGTAAACTTTAATTTCACTTCATCGATTCCTAAAATTGGAATGGCAGCAAAATTTTCCATATAGATCACAGTGTCTTCTTCTGCTACTTTCATGGACTTGAAAAACTCCTTATTTTTGCATATGTGCTGAGTAGCCCCATAATCAACCCACCAAACAAAGTCATCTTCAATAAGATTGATTCAAAAATCATAGCCACAAGACTTTTACTTACATTGTCGGAAGAATCTTGCTTCTTCTTGTTGTTTTTAAGGATCTTGTGTTCAGACTTATTGATGTGATTTCTTGATCCTCCAAGAAAGACCAAGAATTGACGCGCGGAAGCCTAGATCTTTGTAAGAGGGACGTTGCTTTGGAATGGATTCGAGTCCAACCTTGGACTGCTCAGGGTGAAAACGAAGGTAGAAGATGCCACAATCAAGTGTATTGCTTAATTGATAAGTCAAGGAATATCAAAGGATCAAAGCTAAAATGCTAAAACTAGCTTTCACAAGCTAATGAATTCGCCTCTCAAGAGAAGACAAAATTCTGGAAAATGTTATTAAACTCTCAAAACTGACTAAACAACCATACTTATGGCTATTTATAGCCTTACATAAAGCTATTACTACTTGGAAACATAAAGGAACTCAACCCCTTTAAGGTTTGTTGCATTTGGGCCGAATTATAAAGGCTTTAACAATGAATAACTAATAAACTAATTAACTAGGGTTCGGCCAAGGCCTATACCCGACTCCTTCGAGCTTGAGCTCAACATGAGCTCATTATTGGACTCTAAAATCTTGAATAACTACTACTAATACTTGCTTGATGCTTCACCATCATCGCCTTCAATGGATGACAACATCTTGGTCGGTATGCAAGTGTCTTGCAAGTTGATATCGTCAATGCTTGTAAAGGATCCTTCTTGTGCTTGCATGGCATGTACTAAGGTCAAGAGTGACTCTTTGAATCTTTTAGCTCTTGCATGAGTTACTGGACCTAGAGGAACCTTCACGGGGTGTCCATGCACACCATGGCCATCTTCCAAGTGCGCTTCACTTATATTATCCTTCCTTTTTGCAATAGAAGCCCTTGCCCTTGATCTTCCTTTACTTGTTATTATTGGGCTGATTCTTGGATTGTGGTCCTCTGTTGCCTCCTTGGGACATGTTTGTGTCCCTCCTTGATCACATGCACCTTGTTAGTAGAGTCTTACACTCTTCAAGGATTTGTGAATCCTTCTGAAGGTCTAAATTGATCAATCCTTGATTTTAATTATTAACAAGCCAAAATGATGATTTGGACTAATATTTTTAGTGAGAAATTTATTAGTATAGGTGTTCAAATAATTAGCAAAAGAAAGAATGAAGAACAAGAAGAAAAAAATTTTTCATTGAGCATTGGATGAAGTTTTATGGATAAATACAAGCTTCCAAAACTTCATCCAATGCTCAATGAAAAAGTGAAGAGTGTATTTGCCTACATTATTACAAGCTTCAAAAGTGAAGAGTGTTCTTCATTGTGTGTATAGAAACATTCAATAGCAGTCTAGTGAGAGTTGACATGAGAGAAGTTTAAAACTATTTGACTCAACTAAAGGGTGTTTAGGGTGAGCCAAGAGTGAATCTTCTTATGTATAATGTGAGAACTCGAGAAAATCAGGTGTGTGCTTTGCATTTATTTTATTTTATTTACCTTGATATTGGAAATATTACATATAACGAATAAGTGGTTAAATTAAATGTCTAATTGAATTTCTATGAAATCGAGAATTAGAAATATCCTAGATTGGTGTAGAAAAATTTTTATGAATCAAATAAACACATGGTATGTATATTGTAAATTGTGTCATTTGCATATATTACTAGACACGTAGCATATATTATACAGTTGAATAAATTATATGTCTAGTTGATTTTCCTTTAAAACCGAATGTATGAAAATCTCCTAGATTAATGTACGAGAATTTTGTAAGGGTATATAAATTAGAACAAATAAAGTTTGGAGTCAATGCATGAAATAATAAAACCGCAGCCCCTTAGTGAGCAAATAAGTTAATACTAATGACCTAACTAACCCTGAATCTTGGTTAAACTACTATGCAACCTGAGGAAGCCATCTTCTAGAAGACAACCGAGAGGAGAAAACAATCTGCTAGCTTGGGCGGTGACCGAGAGGAAGAAAAACAAGGCAGCCTTCTTCCTTCCTTTCTTTCTTTCTAAAATGAGCTGAGGGAGTGGAACTAAGTGCGAGGAGAGAAAATTGGTTAACCTCATCAGCTGCTAAACATAATCAAGCAAACGGGAGGGATAGCTGGTACAGACTTGAGGGAACAAAGCTGGAAAAAAAATCTGATCCATCTGCAATTCTTAACTCTTAAAGGCAAGAGGTAAATTTTCTGTGATTAATACTTACTTACTGAGTATAAAAGAGTATATATTCAACCTACAAGTTAAGTTGTAGCAGAGGAAACTGAGCTTCGACAGGAGAAAATTCTGGTTTTAAGGTAAATGGTTATCTGATTGAAGTCGTAGGAATCGGGAGGTAACTAAAGGAATTGCAACTCATTAGTAGTGTAAAAAATGGAAAAAAATAACAAAGGAAGAACCTATTATATAGATACCTCAGGTATTATAAGAAGTTTAGTTGAAGAAATTTGGGGAAAGTTGAAAATTGGGAGGATCGATGGAAGATCCTTGCTGGAATTTTTCCAGCTTCATCCGAGTGGGGGGGGGATGGAAAAGTTTCAGCTGTCTTTGGTGAATAATGACTCTAAAATTCAGTGTTAATCTGTAATATGTTGTATAACATCTTGATTTCTTTATGCATGAGAGGTTTGAGCATAAAATGGAGGGATCTAGTAGAAGAAACTCGTCTTTAGGCATTACTTGCTGCTACGAACCAGTTTTATAGCCGAGAGAGGATATAAATCTTGGTTCAGCTTTTCTCTTGGATTTTTGGCTATAAATTTCTATGTTTTGCTTAAGGTGGTCTGTAGTTGAATGATCATCCCCGCATGTCTAGTTGGAGCATGAAACTGAAGAAAATTATGAGAAAACACCACATGTTAAACTGCTATACTGCTGCAAATTGTAATTAGTTGATGACAGATTGTTGTGCGTAGCTTTTGGGTTGAATAATTTATTGAAACTAGATGCTATTTTCCTTAGTATATGCTGGACTGAATGTACTTTAAATATTTAGAGTTTTAAGCAAGTGAAAGAATAGAGTTTTCGTCGAAAGCTTGAAGTAACGTTACTAGTTTTGGTTGCTGACCGAGAAAATGAAACAGATTGTGCTTCTGATCATCCCTTTTTGGCCTTGAAAACGTGATAACTGGATGTTGATGTCTTCAGAAGAAATGTAGGTCTATGTCTTAGCTTCGAAACGCTATAAAATTCGCCTCAATCCGATAAGCGTAGCTCTAGTTGTGATCAAAACATCAGAGGGTGGCAAAGCTGCCTTTCTTGTTGCTTTCCTTTTGTTCCCGGATGCACTTTGCTTTGATAATGGCCGTGAGGAACCAACTTTGAACCAGCATTTACTCTAATTTCCAACTTTGTAAGCTTTCATAAATGATAGCTACGGTTACCCTGAGATTTAATGGCTATATACAGCTCCACAGGTAGAGTTAAACTAAAGCAAATGAGGGGAAAACTCATGATAATTATGTACCTAAATTGGCTTCTAATTACTTAATATTGTCTTCACAAATATTTTAAAGATTATAAAATTTGAGGGACTGGTGTAGTAGAATAAAATTTAACTTACAAATAACCTAGAGTTTAATTAATTAAAAAGGGGACCAATGAAGTACTCCTAAACCGTAATCTTAGAATCTTGAGTGGAAAATGATTTAATCCTAAAATAAATATCTTATAAATTATTAACTTGGGAAAACAGGTATAATTCTTGATTAAAACAATAAAGTCAATGAGTTTCAAAATAAAATGATAAATGAATATTGAATATATTATATTTGTACTTTACGGTCAAACTAGAATCCGTTTTAGCCTAGACGGAAGAAATGAAACGTTTGCTTGTTTTAATCCTTGCACATTAGATTGGAAATGAGTTAATCTTAGCTCAAGTGTTTTATATGATATTAAAATTTGGTGTATATGTACATTAACCTTGTTTTAAAGCTACCAAACTTAATAATCTTGAAGACAAGCGCAAGGAAGGTTGCTAGATTTTGGTGATTCGTTTTATAAGCTTACGAACTTGGGTTTTAGTTACTTAAACCTTAAATTATGTAAGATGAGTGGTTGTATATAAAATGAATATTCACTTTAGAATTATTAACTTGTACCAGGAAGTAGCCGTGAACCGGGAAACCAACTCGAGACTCGAGAGTAGTCATTTGAATCTTTGGTGAGTGTTTTCCGAATTTATGTGTTAAACTGCTTATGTGTACCTAAGTACAATTATATGGCAAATGTGCTTATTAGGAAATATTGCTAAGTAATTCATTGTGAAGTGTTTTCAATTGTCCCGCGCCTTCTAAGTCGAGAGTGTACTTTATCGCACTCGGCTTAGTTGAGCTTGAAGGTTGATAATTGATCAAGTGATATTGTAAGTGTGCATGACTGTAAGCCATGTGTGTAATTTATCACACTGGCTGACCTGGGCCCCAAAACCCTCTGTTCAACGGACTATTCGAGCCAGCAAAGGGCTTGGTCGAGTAGGACGGTAGCTTTGGGTAAGTGTTCGGTATACTCGAGTATTACCACGGAATAGCAGATTACTGATATTGATATGGCCATCCAAGTGAGGGAAGTGTTTATTATTTTGGAGGTTATAAGGAGGAGTTCGCTGGAGTGTGTAGTGCATTGAAGTGGCTCTAATGCGAGCACTGTATCCTTTTAAAAGTGATTGTTTGGTGATGTGCTTCCTCAATTGCTTAATGAAAGTGATTGTACAGTGAAATGTGCACTACTCGCTTAATTGTATTGATTTAAGTGCTTATTGATTGTTGTTTGCATGGAAACCTCACGGGAGTAATCTCACCCTTTTAGCTTTGTTTTCCTTACAGGAGTTGGAGATGGAAAAGTGATTGGATGGAATTGGAACGTTGTTTTGGGAAATTCCATCACTATGTGTATATATTGGAGTCACGTTTTCTTTTGTATTTTAAGATGGTTGAATCTTCTGTTTTGAGTTGATGTAATATTAAGAATGGATGTTTAGAACGTGTATTTTGTTTCTTTTAGTGGACAAATCTATGTTTCAAGCTGATTAAAGTGGTACTTAAGAGTGAATGTTCAGTTGTTCAATGAGAATGTTATCTCTGAAGTTAATGTAAGTGAGTGAGTCCTGGCGAGAGCCAGGCAGGCGATCCGCTAACTTCTAGGGTAAGCCCTAGGAGAAGGTGGGGTCGTCACATATAAGGTTATTTGCTTCACTATCAGTTGAAATTACGTGTGAAATCAACTCCAAGTTTGGAAGAAAGTAGGGAGTGTGATTGGTTTGCATTCCTTTTATTTTATTTTTCTCTTTGTTTTATTCTATTGTGTGGTTAAATTGCTTCATCTTTATTGTTATTTTGTATGGTTAAGTGTGTTGTCACTTGGGCTATTTTTGGATAGTTAAAATTGAATAAATATTTGCAATTATTTGATTGATTTGTCAACAACCTAATTCATCCCCTCTTAGATTGTTTTGAGTCTTACACCTTCTTTGCCTACATGTGAAATTCTTCTTTTAGACGAAGGGACGTGGAAAGAGTTTCAAGAGAGATTTTCTCTTTCTTAGATTTGAAGTCTCTCTTGGGATCTTTCCATGAAAGAATTTTCTATATGCAACATACTATTATGGTTTCATCCATCTATAAGTTACGTTAGTTATAATGGTTAAGAAGCCTTTCGAGTTCAGCAAATTGTTCTATAATAGATCTATTTTCCACCGTCTCATAGTTATCAAATGAAGAAACAAGGAACTTCTTACTTATTGCGTTTTCATGCATGCATTTCACATCCAATCAATCCCAAAATTCCTTTGCAGTAGAGATGGTATGATAGACATTGAATAGGCTGTTAGCCATGGCATCGAGGATGTGACCATGACAAATTTCATCATCATTCTCCCACCACTTTTGGCATCTTTGAATGTCATCAAATGTCTTCTCTTTAGAGTAGATGAAGAGCGACTTTGGGGTGGTCAATACATAGACCACTTGTAGAGACGTAAGGAGCAAACATTCACTATGTTGGATGCTAACTTTTTCAAAGAACTTGTAATTGTTTTGAAGAAATAATGCCCAACGACTGTTCGTCAAATTACAAGAAAATTGTACAAAACAATGACAAATAACAAGAATGAGAGAACTTCAAATCGTGATTCACAATCACTTTCCTTTAGGTTTTATTTATTCTAAACAAGTACTATCTATTTGGATAAATATTCTTTAGGATAATTTGAAGGGTGTTTGTATATAATAATCACTATATGTAACAAACCACTTAAACAATGGGGTGTTTTCACAGAGAATTTTATGAAGTAGGAAAGTGATTTTTTACAGCAAATCACCTTTTACTGGCCTTTTATGGAGAAGATAGTAAAATGATTAAGTGTTGCAAGTTTTGTCCAATGATTTCTTAACTTTTCCTTGAATTGTATTGGTCAAAAGGTTCCTGAACACTAATGCAAGTGTTCAGATGGTTTTTGGTCATTTAGGCACTATTTGGAGGGTAATTAACCAACAAAACACTAAAATGTGCCAAAATAGAAATTTAAAATTGTTTTTAACCGTTACAAGATCAACCCGCTGTGTCATCCACGGATCCTAATTGGACAAATCTTTCATAGAGTTCAGATGAATCTAGCATGAAGTTCAGCTGCAAGTTTAGGGCCAGACTTGATCCACGAGTAGATCCTTGATACGTACCAAAATTTTGAAAATATTTCAACAAATTTTTTTAACATAAAGCTTCAATTAATTGTACAAAAATTGCCACTGGAATATAAATAATGGGAACACAGATACAAATTCATCAACTGCCCACTGCTAACTGATCTGGATAAATAATTCTAAAACTGCAAAAGACTAAACTGGTCTAATAAGCAAACGATCAGTAAGATAGACATCAAGGGTAAAAATGAACTATGTGGGCACTAGTGTAAATAAACACAAAAAAAAAAAGCCATCTTCATTTCCAACCGAACCACCTACATTATGCTACAACTACTAGCACATCCAAAGACCCTCCGTACACAAAATTAAGGGGCCGAAATCACAATTCCAATTGCAATCCAATTACCTCCAATCACACAACTCCCACTTTCAAAGAAGTAATAATTATTCATTAATGGTGCATCTTATGGATTTTAATGTATATTTATGAGTACCTAAGAATTGAGACATAACCAGGTGTTTTTTGGGGGTGGGGACGGTTTGAAGTATTCACGTGATTGCCATTCTTAAAATTTTGAATTGCAAGTTGGTTTATGTTGGTTGTATTGGATCTTACGTTATGAATCTAAATGCAGTTCAAAGAAAATGCATTCTTTAGCTTTATATTCTCAATTTTTCCCATTTACATAGATGCAAGAGAATTGCAATTAAAAATGTCATTGACAATGAAGTGTAAAATGAACTTTTAGTAAGCAATAGCTTTATGTTTTTCTTTTTCTTTTTCTAAATCAAGCACTGACATCAATCAAAAACAAATAATCGTAACGAGCACAATCATAATGAGGAAATTATACGTTGGATTTATTAATCATGTGCTAAAAATGACAAAAATACTAAAAAATAAAATTTTCCATATCTTCTCTTTCTTGTCATCCTAATGATCAAAAGTAGGAAACTATGTGTTGAAAGGGTCATTCTTTAGTATTCATTCTTTTTATAGGACGATAGAATATAACATGGTTTTTAAAAGTACAAGTCAAAATGTTGCTATTGAAGTTCATTCTTTATTTTGCACTTTTCATGAAGAGAATCTCTAAATTTTGCAGTTTCAATTACTACAAATGATAAATAGATTAGGAAGTACAAATAGAAGAAAACTAAAACTATTAATCAACAACTGAGCATTTAATTGTTGGCATATTAAATCAAAATTCAAAAATAAAAATTTTATAATGCTCCCTCCATCCCATTGAAATATCATACTTTTCCTTTTTTATCTGTCCCAAAATAATTATCACTTACCAAAATTGGCAATGTATCATACTTTCCTTTTTTATCTGTCCTAAAATAATTATCACTTACCAAAATTGGCAATGTAAACTTTCACACATTTCCATTCCATACCCTTCAATGTGACAGCCCTTCTTTATCTTTTAGTGGGCCCAATTATTTACTTATCAATTACAAACACTGCACTTAATAGTGCATGACTCCCACATGAAATGCAAATAACAATCATGCGTGACAGTTTCCTCTAAAGCAGTCTAAAAACATTTCATTCTTTTGCGTCCCATATGTCTTGTCACACCTAGCGGCCTTTTTATCATTCAACCATGTATGAATACATTGAAAGTCAAGCGGGGTATTACTGGAACTTAAACCTAAATCATTTGAAAGTCTTGCACTATTGATAATAATTGCAAGTCTTGAAGTGCAACATACTTTCTCGGACAGAGGGAGTATTATTTAACAATATTTTAGTCAATTTAAGATTTTAGTAATTCCATTGGAATCAAGTTATGGTAGTTCTATTATTTATGAAATTATATTTTATTAGAAAATTTCTTGTGTTATAAGACTTGTTTACTAAGTGATATAGTTTGTAAATAGAGAATCTTAATAATGGTGTCAGTTGAGAAAAGTGAATTTGATAGTCTTGTTCTTATGGTGTATGATTAATATATTATTATTGGTGTTATTCTTCTTCTCCCACACATATTATTGTATGTGCAAATTTCTCTCTCTATATACATTAATTTTATAAAATATATCTCCTACAAATTTTTGGTAGAATTTTTTACGCTCTATATCTGGGTGTCAGAGTCCTAGATTCAATAAATTAATCCGGGGTGCCCATGAAAATTGAAGGATTGTCCCATTTACGAGATTAATCCTAAATGTTTTCTTTTGTCAGAGTTAGAGCATAAGAATTGTTGTGAAGAAATTAGTTGATCGAGTTTGTAAAGATTGAACCATAAGATTAGTTTGGGAGAATTGTCAGATTGATTGTGAGTGTAAAGATTGAGATTGGAGAAGAATTCTACAAATTGAATTGTGATTTTGAAAAACACAAAGTGAGATGTCAATAAATTGACATCAAATTGTATGACAAAAATAGTCTATCCAGGTGCATAAATTATTGCAATGACAAGAGTATTTAAAGATGAGGAACCGATATAAAGTAATATTGTTAGAATTTGCAAGGGAGATGATTGATTATGATTGTATTGGACTAGATTTGAGAGAGTTTGATTGAAGGGTGACAATCTTGACATATTTAATCAAGGGTCAAAAATAAAAATTTTCATATTATTATTTAGCAGTGTTTTAGTCAAGTGAAGGTTTTAATAATTCTATTGGAGTCAATTTATAATAGTATTATTGTTTAAGAATTAGTATTTTATTAGAATATTTCTAAAGATTGTAAAACTTCTTTACCAAATCATTTAATTTAAAAATAGGGAGTTTTGATATTTTTGTCAGTTAAGAAGAGTGAAATTTGATAGGTTTGTTCTTATGATTTGAGATTAATATATTATTGTTAGTATTATTTCTCTTCTCCTACACTTGTTCATATGTGTGTAAATTTGCCTCCTCATATAAATTGATTTTATAAAATATATTTCCCAAAGATTTTTGGCAAAATTTTTTGGCTTCTACATTAATAAATTAGCAATTCCTATTAACATTGATAAGAGTAATACTAGATGCTACCTAGAAATAATTAGAATCAAGAAATAAGTTATGAAGAACGAAACATAAATTTAAAAAAGAAGTAAAGATTTAAGTATGCATACGGCTAAAAGCTAGAGGGAGGCTTTCAAAGAAAAAAAAAACTATACGGAGAGAAGAGAGGATTAAAATCTTAGAAAAGCAAACAAAAGGACCTTTGATATTAAACCAAAAAAAATGTCACAAAAAAATGAAAAAGATACGATATTGTGTAGGGCTTTTGGTTTAATAGAGTACTAGTGTCTGGGGCCACATCTAGAATGGCCTTGCCCAGATATAGTCATATTTTGGTTTTGTTGTTTTAGTTGGAAGCATTTGTGAATTTTGGGGAGC